ATTTGGGCTAGGTATAGTTGGAAAATAACTTAATTATGATTGAGTGTTTATATTTTTCATAAAATCATATGAGCTGAAATGTCGAAATTTATACCGAGATACATAGATTAGTGTTTAAAGGCTTACTACGGTCGGGGCCTTAACTTACGTGGGTCTAATGCGGTCCGGCCATGAACAGGTCGTGACAAAGTTGGTATTCAGCAGCTTAGGTTAGAGTTATTAGGACACAACTGCGGAGTATAGGATTTTTTTATGTTGGATCGGCCGTACAACAACCAACATAAGGAAAGAAGCTTGGGAATTTCCTTCTTGGGGATGGCGGACGCACTGGACCCTATGAAGGAAAAATCCATACCTATTGTGTAAACCAATAGTTCGTAGAAAGAAGTAGTTGAGGATTAGAGTGAAAGCAGTAGACGATAAGATAATTTATCGCAATACCTATAGAGGCTAGAGTTGGTATCAACCCTTAGGCTAGGGAATAGAGTAATACCTGATAGTAGTGGATTGGCTTGATCACCCAGTACACTACTTTTCATGTGAGCTCTATTCCTACAGTGAATAGGATAGTGTAGAGAATAAATAGGTTTTTCATTTTTTCATTTGTATAGCGGATTGATGAACTTTGGGTGATTAGGAATCGGTATTTTTAGTTAATTCAGGTCTCGGCTCACTGAATTTCTTTAGATATTTATTCAAAAAGATAATCTTTTTTAATTATTTTTTATTTTTTGATATTTTGATATTTAAATTTAACCCCATTTTTATTTTGAATTCAAATTGTGTTATGATAAATAATTTGAAATTGATTATTTATATAGAAAATTGTTTTTGAAAGTTGTCTATTTATATCATAGGGCCAATTGGATTAGATCATAAAATGAAATGATTACAAGGATAGTAAAATTTGAAAGAAGGTTGGAAAAAGAAGAATAAGACTAGTGGTGATAATAATAAGTAGACAGTTAGTAATCAAGTTGAGAATATGAACGCTGGAAATGTCGGTAGCCAATTTTGGTATAGAAGTTAAGTGGCGATTAGATTTGGAGTATAGGATTGTTTAACGTAATAAATGGAAGAAATAACATTAGGAATGGACTTGAATGATTGAAGGGTATAGAAATGATATATATAACGAGTTGTAATATATATATATGAGGAGTAAGTGGTAGATAAAAATTAGAAGAATTCATGAATATCTTACTAGAGAAGAATTCATGAATATCTTACTAGACTTAGATAAGGGAAGGATTTGTTGAAAATTCTAAAGTCAAATATGAAGTCAAAGATGGGTGAGACAGGTGAGTTGAATCTGAATTTGATATAAGTTAGCAATAGATGGATGCTAAGTTAATAGTTCCACATATGGTGCCTAACACTTAGTTAAATAAGACTAATTAAAATGTTAGCATTATGGTTTGAAATTGTAATCCAGGAGGATATGGACAAAAGAGTGAAGAAGTTAATAGTATATGTAAATCAGACTCGAAGGAGTTAATGAGATCGATTTGATGATGTGATATCTGAATGGTAAGGCAGCATTAGGTCAAGAATTAAGAAATTTTATTAAAAACCTTAGTATTGATGAGTATTAGGTATAAGGTGAATATTTAGGGTACATAATAAATGATAGGTTAAAAATGTTAGTGATTATGTAAGTCGTGAGTGATGAGGACTAGTAGTATGAAAGAAACCAAGTGGGCAAAATAATTAATAAGAATATTTAATATCCTTAGGACGAACTAATAGCAACATTTGTGGAATGAAAAGTTATTAAAAATATAAGAATAAGATTTGGGTTATTAACTGAAATTCGAACTATTAAAAGTTGTTATTATGAAAATCGATTTTTGTGGTAAGTAT